CTCTAGTCAACTTTTAGGAACTCACAGTCTATGTCAGAATTTATCCCGACAGAACGGTTTACCGGTTACCTAATAAAACGCAATTAATTAGTCATTAAGTATGCAGTTCGATTTGAAATTTCATCAAGATTTTCTTTCAAAACCGGAAATATTGAGACCACAACTGCAAATTCACACAAGTTACCCAGAACATGTTTTTATATGTACCGGGTTTCGAAGTACACTTACTGTGTAACTTACTGATGAAACTATTCAGTTTTCTAGGCTGAAGTAACAGGGATGAAATTTGGAACCGACACTTGTCGGCTATAAGTTGAGTGCCTAAGTCGATGAGTCACTTCTTCACACTAGGATTGGGAGAGAGAGAGGGAGACAGCAAGTCCATACTTCAGCACTTTACCTACCACTAATTAATACAACCAGCTGGAGATCATTTATGTCATTATGCAGTACAGGTAAATGGATTTCTTTTGGAAATTGCATAGCCCAAACTGAAATTTGTGTGATACAAGAGATTGGTTTGGCAAAATTTACTACTAGAGGAAGAAAGTCATCATTCTTTACGACAAATATATATATATATATATATATATATGGGCAATTAGCAGATTCATAGTGTATGCATTACCTAAAGGGGCATTCAAGAAAATAAAAGTAAAAATTGTTTGAATAAGGTACTGATAAATACGTTTCATTAGAAAGATAATACAATCTATGGCCTCAGTTTCATTTCTTACCGTACGACAAAATAAAAACTACTAGCAAGTGAACACATTTGCATGTTACATCTATTCACACAGAGAAAAACAAATACCCATGCATATGTGTCCTAGCTACTGGTCAGTGACCATCTGTTTAGAATGCCACTGTGTCCTTTACCTATATTTTCCTTCTTCCAAGGTGAAATAATACATGGAAAGGCTATAGGCATGGTCAGTAGTTAAATGATAACGTGTAAGAGAGAATACCAATGATAAGGCTTTCCTATCTCTCTTATCAACTTTTGAAATTTCCACCATTCTTGTTTAACTAATTTTTTTTATGAGCGAAGATTGCAAGGAAAACAGGATGACGATTACCAGGTGATTATAACAGCAGGTGAATGATAAATTGCAACAATTGGCAAGAAAAACAACAAAAAACGAATATCTTGTCATTCAGTTTCAGAATATGAAAAGAAATGAATGAATATAATGCCGTATAAATTCAAACCGTTAGATATGAAGAAAGGGATGTAACCATTTCTTATACATTTCAGGGAAGAGTGAGATATGATAAATAACCAGTCATATCCCTGCAAACCAACACTTGATAATTAACCTGGTGCTCACTAGCTCTTGGCCGTATACAGGGGGAGTTACCTGCGGTCCTCGTGAGAAGTCTTTACCGGCAGAGTCCACCAAGTCAGGCGAGGGGGCTGTAACTCACCTACGACACTAGTTGGCATTCACACTAAATATATATATATATATCACGAATTGGCGGGAGCTGCAATTCACCGACCCTATGGCCGAGTGGCTTACGAGCTCGCCTCGTAATTGGAAGGTCCTGGGTTTGAACCCCGATGGGCACTTGCTAATGAAGAGTCCCGAACTAGGGCGAAAGAAACATCCAGCACTTTCTAGTTCTCCAGTGTTTCTGTAACCAATGTAAGCTCGCGATCAACCCCATAACCAGTCAAATCCCTGCAAACCAACACTTGGAATGACTTCAGTTAGCAAATGATGAGGTATTAGTTAGTTTAGGAAGTACGATCTTATAGCCAGTGCATTATATGCTGAATATCAAAGGCAATTGAAAGGATATTAATCAAAAGAAAGAATATGACAAGCCGTGCTCGCATTCATTTTAACTCGAACTTGTTATTCATCTTTGTAATGCTGCAATCAGTGGAATTACCTTTGCTTATTGAACTTGTCCAATGAAACTCAGAGAACGTCATATAAGTTTTTAAAAGAGGTATTGACCAAACAAGATACCACATGAGAAGTTGTGTGTATGAACGAAATGCGCGATTTTTTTTATTCAACTGTGATTACTTCAATGATTCACTGACTGCATAACGGAAAGTTTACTCCGTTTGCAGAATGTAAAATGATAAAAGCACGATAAGTTCTTCGGCTTCCAGCAGCCCTTTTCTGTAGCTGCTAAATCACATCAGTACGTTTTCCGATACGAGTCACATTATGCTGTATCATTCAACGTTTTCAATGACAGTAAATTTATTAAACACCATGTGATACTCTGTATGATAGAATATATTTTTAAATTTTCAGAATCATTTCTGTGTCTAACTTAAATCGAAAATATTTACTCATGAATTCTATTTTATGTAGAAGATATGTTAAAGCTAGAAAGTTGCAGTTCATCTGGTGTCTATCCTTTTGACCAAGTGTTTAGTTATTACAGTTTCTGATTATACGCCGTGAATAGTTAGTTATCTACCCTTGGAAAATCCAAATCATCTCCTATGAATTTGTCCTGTTATATATACATATTTTTTTGTTTCTGAGGGAATTTCAAAACCTTGTTTTAAAAAATAACCATCTTTTTCAGTGTGCTATATAACGTTTTTATGGTTAGATAAACAAACTACCGCATTGATTTTCCGTCTAACAAGAGGACTAGTAGAAAAAAAATACTGTGACCAACATTCTTCTAATTAAAAAGGATTTTCAATGTAAATAATAAACTACGGTGTGATGTCTACCGAAAAATTAATCCCATTATGGGCTAAATAGACGTGTAGACTTGCAATCGAAAAAATAAGTATTATTCTGACTTCATGCGGGTATGACAATTTGATATCTTTGCAAAATGTGGTGGGTTGTTAAATTATGCCGAGTTATACACTTCAGTGAAAACAGTTAAACTGTAATAAAAGACAATATATCAAAACGATTTTCTATAGTTGGTTTGTAAGGATTAGTTTTGTTTTTATGAGTCCATCACGGATTGATATCAGTTTAGAGAACCATTGAAAACCAGGGAGTGCTGGTGTTCAGTGGTTCTCTAACTGATATCAAAACGATGACAACTGGATTAAGCTTTATTTTAAAAAAAATAAAACAATTTGTTTCAAGTGACCCACTTAGAATAGCTTAGGTCAAAAGCCACATACATTTATATTCAGTTAGAGATTACCAAAGGTGACGAAAAAACTAAAATTACATCTATTTCGTTTTCTTCTTAAAGGTACAAACTCCTGCAACCAAATTTTTCATGTTAAACTTATCTATCTAGTGTATAAGCTTATAAATTATTTCAGACTCACTACTTGTAAATAGAAAAGTGTTTCGTTGACTTGCGTCTTTAAAAATTAAAAAGATGTCAATATTGGGTTTCTGTTGGAGTTAAATTTAATGGGATGACACTGTTTCTTGGTAATGTGTAGTTTAAAAGAAAAAAAAATTAAATCAGTAAACAAAACAGCTGCTTTAAAAAGTGGAGTTACTGCTATTAAAAATGAAATGCTTTTGGTCTTGCATATTCACTGGTGCATTCTGTGAAGCTGTCAGTTTTTTGTTTCACTAAAACTAATCGCCAAGGTCTGGATAGCATACCAGTAGCGAACCAATGTATCTATTACACTTCTGCAGGAGGTCAGTTGCAAAGATATTGAAGCTGAAAGCATGATATGGGCTAGAATAGCAGAAGGGAAATTAGTTCCTTCTAGGCGGCAGATACACATTGTTGCTAAGTGTCAATAAGCATGAAACCTAGGCTCGAAGCTTTCTATCGATTAATCACAACTGTCTTACACCTGTTTAAAACCTTTCATGTGTCATGCACTACCGCCGAGCAATGGTAGCTGACTGGAGTGTATAGTATTCAGTTTGATTTAAAAGAACAAGTTCCTCAGTCATTTCTATTTTATTCTAAAATTATTAGACCGAAACTATGCTGGGGTTTTTTTTGGTGAAAGGACACTTAGCTGGGCAGAGATAATACCATACGTATCTACTAATATCAGGCAGTTAATCTGTGTTGAGATGATATCAGAATTTGTTGCCCAAGACAAGTTTCATTTTAGATATGCTGTATTTTTAAGCAACAAAGACTAGCAGTATAGGCAGACCCTATAACCCTTTTGCTTTTCTTGTCTTTAGGATCTCTGTCATCAGTAAGTAAAAGTGTTGCCCTATAAGTACCAATATCCTGAAATGTTGACCACCTCCCGAATTATCAAGAAATCTTGTAATCTGTGTAGAAGTAATTTATTTTCCTTTTCAGGTAGTCTCGTAACAGATCAGCGCAAAAGTTCAGTATGAATAACGTTCTCAAAGAATTAAATTAGACGTATAGTTTGTAAATATTCATTGTATGAAGGGAAAGGCGTACACACTGTCCACCTTTAAACTCAAACTGTTAAGCTGGATTGAATCAAAGATTTAAACCGCCAGAAAACAACTTACTGTTAATATGAGTCATATTGTAATAACAATAGGAGCGATGAGAAAGTGAATCCCAGTGACTAATGAAACATTTGGGCTTAAAGTGCTTACAACCACCAAGATTTTAAAAAATCGATCTTTCAAATTTGTTGGTGACTTGTTTTGTTATTAGTTCACTACACGATTTCAGAAATCAAGGAGACTTCTCAGAATGCGATAGACATTGAAGTTCTGCAAATGCACTTCTCTACAACCATCAATTATAACTTATTCTCACTCACCAATCATGCACATGGTCCGAGGTTCGATCTCCGGCCGACTCACTCCTCTACCTCGCTGAGCCAGAAATAATGCTGGTAAAGAGGAAAGGTTGGGCATGAGGCCAGCAACCCCATCCTGCAAAAATAAACACTGCTACAGAAACTTCAAGCCACTAGCTTGAAGCCCTATTTTCCACTGGGGAACGTGAAGGAGAAAAAACTATTCTCACTATTGCATATGATAATAAGTGACTGACCAGTCTTCTACATGAACCTAAAATTTGTGAAATTAATCAGTAAAAACTAACAACTACTGAAATGTTGAAATAACCTGCTGAATTCTTACCTGTGCACTGACTGTTCATTGCACATCTGTTTCTAGAATTACAGCAATCTGCATTTATTGGTTGTACTTTCCGATCGATTTTCGACATGTGATTATTATTATTAGTAGTAGTATTAGCATTATCCATAAAACCACCACCACCACCACTTAAAGCACCTCCACATTTGTGGTGATGAAAGTTGAAATTGTTTTGAGATAGCTCTTTACGCCTTCCTCGCATACAGTTTAACCATGTTTCAGATGACTTTCTGTTACACCAAACCCACATACCTGATGTCATACCAACAACTAATGACATGAATATTTGTAGCATATTAGCTTCAACCGATGGAAATTGTTTATCACCTAGACACTGATTGATCAGAGACCAAATTGTGCCGAATTCTGTTAGACAATTGCCTTGTTTATCCAACTGATCAAGTGTTTTTATCCATTTTGGGTAATTAATATAATTGTACATATTGACGCCGATAACACAAACAGTCGGTATAATGTACAACATTGAAAATATACAGATTTTTATCATCAATTTATCTAAACGTCTTATATTTCCGTTGTTGAAGGCAATCACTGGACTGGATGTGTGAATAACTGCAGTTTGAGCAGCTGATGAAGTTGACGTAGTTACAGCTGGATTTCCTTTGAACTGTGAATTACAACAGTTTGATTTAATTGTAGCTGTTGTAGTGTTTGAATTATTATTATTTAAATACTTTGAGTGTTGTCTGAGATTCGACCGAACGGATATTAATGAGTAAAATCCAATAAACAAAAACAAAATACCCAATAGTAAGTAGATAATTTGTGGTAGTAAAATAAATGTCAGTAGACTGGTTGGATTTTGGTAGCCGACAAAGCATAGTCCAGTTAACTCATCTGCATCAATTCGATGCATAATTAGTATAATGATAGTTTTTAATGCTGGCAAGGCCCAGGCGAGCATGTGAAGGATGCTGCTGACAGCCTCAATCCCTTCACAACCCCATTTACAGGAGGCTGACAAAAACCAAGCTATGGCTAGCATAACCCACCAAATATAGCTAGCTTGACTGAAATAATAGAGGATAAGGAATACTATGGTACACCATGTGCCTTCATGCCCAGAAGTTATTAGAAAGCTAACATTATTTTTAGAGTGGGCTAGATTTCTAAGAATTTTCTTCGTCCCGTCATTCGATGCTCCACTGGATAATAAAGATTGTGATATAGTTTCCACCTTGTTCCTACATGCCACCATATCACGGCCTATGAGAGCATGAAGAATAAATCCAGCAGAATAAAAGAAGTAACATGCTGATATATAAATAATTGGCCGCTCTGGATATGTGAAACGGGCACGATTTAAGATGAAAGTGACAATAGTCAATGTGCATGACCCCATGCATAGTATTGCCCAAACAATCATCCAAACATTAGCAAAACGTTTTTCAATTGGTCTGTAAAACAAGTGAACATTACATCGACGTGCACATGTTATATTATTATGAGCCTGTTCTGAATATAAAGGTACTTCAACAATACTGCATTTTGAGGCATGTAGTCTGGCCTTTTGAAGTAGATGATAATTTTTCAGCTCAGCTTGATTATCCTGCAATGGAGGTGAATTTTGATGGTTACTATTAGTCTGATTAGTTTGTCCGCTTAAATGCTGATTGTGTGCGCTTTGATGTGCCAAAAATTCACTAAAATCAGGTAGTAATTCAGCGATAGCTCCATGTGCTTCAGACGGTATCCCTTGACTAATAATTTGTCCATTCTTATCGAGATCATAATTTTGCGGTTGTATACACATTCCGGAATCTGACGGTAGTGACTTACAGTTTAGTTCAATTGGCCAAGGGAAACTGAAACTCTTCATTATTGGCTCACACTTTGACTGAACATAACGACATAAATTCTGACATGGTTGTAAAGCCGCTGGGGGATTTAACGCTGGAGTACACATTGGGAAATATATTGTACATAGGAAAAATTTTAAATACTGTGAACAGCCAACATTGATAAGAGAACGATAATCATTCATGCGTTTCGCTGCTTCTTCTTGTGTTGTTAGACCAACCGAGTTCGGTAACCAAGTATGAGTATATTGAAGACCATGACAAATAGGCTCATGAATTGGAACACAATGGTTGACATCGTCTACTCCCTCTTCTATCTCCTGTTGTTGTCCATCTTCTCCTCTGTTAGAATACACTTCATTCAAAACATGTCCATCTTGACTTGATTCTATGAAAGATTTCAAGTGTTCTGAGACTTCACCGTCTTTTTGTCTACTTGGAAATATGGAAGGTGCAACATTTCTCAGTTTTCGTGTAATTACATTTTGAGGCAAATTATTGCTAGGGAAAGACAGGAGTCCTTTGTCTCTAGCATAAAAGTATAAATCTGAATTCTTAGACAAACTTTTTCGTATTTGAATAATTCCATGAGAATTTCTGATCAGATGTTGGACGATGATCAGAACATTAATGATGATCAGTTTGATTGTTTCTTCAGAAATAATCTTCATCATCAGTAAGGATTGTCACATCTTTTTGGTATAAAAAAAGTTTGACAGTTTCATACTTTGCAGGCTGAGAATGCTTATGTAGAGTGTGAAAAAGTATTCTCTTCAAACATTATTTTCTGTTTATCTTTCTAATATATTTGTTTGAAGGTAACATTGTTTATAATAAACAAAGTACACCAACCTACGTGAATAATACAACAAGAAAATTATTAATCAAGTATTTATGTGCACAGCAATAAATTCCTAACTTAATGCCGATTGGCCGGAACTAACCAGCCTATCCAGAAGCAGAGATAATTATAATAGAATAAAATACAATAAATACAGTTTCCTAAAATACACTGAATGATATTAGTTTTAAAATGAAGTATTTACTTGTTTATACAAACGTCTTACTCAACCCTTGTGCTCACAATAATTTTGCAGGAGCATTAGCGATACCACTTAGTAAACGAAGTATGAATTCGCTTAGATCTATTATTATTATTATTATTCCGGTGGGTTCCGAGTGGAACCGAGGGTTTCAACAACACATCTCCACTTTCTTCTATTTTCTGCCATCCTCTTCATCTGAGTCCACGATTTCCCACAAGCTTTCATCTCCCCCCTCACATGATCTCCTCCATATCACCCTTATACTGACGACCCACTCGTCGCTTCCTATTGGGATGACATTCTAGCAATCGCCTGCATTACGCTCGGTATCATTCGACGGCCCCCTCAACATATGCCCGATTCATTTCCATTTTCTTCTGCATATTTGTTGGGCGATCAGCTTTTGGTTGATTTGTTCCACTGCAGAGTTTCTTGATGCTAATTCTTTCCAGCCATTCGATCTTCACTATGGAGCCAGCGAAGGCAGTTGTTGATTAAGGCATGTAACCTGTTGGAAATCCTTTTCGTGATACGCTGACCAAGTTTCTGACCCGCATAGAAGAACTGACTGACTTTACATTTGTGTTCAAAATCCAAATCTAGTTGTTTATGCTGGTTGAGTGAGGGCGTATCTTGCCTTTCCGATTCTGCCTGGCCTTCACATATTCATCCGTCCCGACTGCCTGTGGTTGAAACAATGCTTCCTAGATAAGTGAATGAAGCAACCTCTGTCAAATCTCTCCCTCTGATGGTGATTAGTGCTGGTTGTTGCTGTTGCTGGAGGTGGTTGGCTACCTACATCACTTCCGTCTTCTCTGTCTCTACCTGGAGTCCTGTCTCCACAGCCTGATTCTTCAACGAGTTTGTTGGTTTTCGCCTGCAAGTCTTCAAGTTTGTGTGACACTAAACATAAATCATTCACAAACGAAATCCAGATCTTCTAGAGTCTTCTTGTCAGTTCAGTGTATTCATGTCTGCTCACTGGCTATTCACAGCCTGACGCATGATTTAGTCCAACACAATTGGAAATATCATTACTCCTGTACTCACTTCAAAGGCTTCATTGTGGATCACTTGACACGTGGCATTGTGATGTAGTCAGCTGCTGAACGAGGTTGATAAAGATTTGGGTACTGTAAGTCGTAGTGTTGAAGTAGTTTCTAAATTACTTCCCGGTCAATGATGTTGAAGGCCTTTTCGAAGTCGATGAAGTTGAGGTAGAGTAAGGTTTGACTGTCCTGTGTCACAATACAACTTATGTGGATATTCACAATAGTTACCTCTCAAAATAATCTATATTGTAATGATAAGATGTAATCAGTTTGAAGTCGTCTGAGACAAACGGGAAATAAGAATATTGTAAATGATGTTGTAATTTACTTTTTACAAAGAAAGTAATAAAGCTCTCTCCATGTTCTTGTATATTTGTGAGTTTGGCGCGAAAATAAAAAAACTGTAATTCAGACAGTTTAATAATGTAGTCAGATAAACCTAAAGTTATTCAATAGACAATCTTTTTTATATTAATCTGGCAAAATTCTGTGTCATCAGCTAGGTGCACATGTAACAAAAAAATTACACGTGTTCTTTTTAACAAATAATTAAGCCTAATTAACTTAATACTACTTTTTCTACACGACTAATAGATTTCCCGTCTGACGAACACAGGTCTACTTCAGTGTGCACATTTTAATGGGAAACTGAACACATGCGTGAAATACTTTTAAAGGACATTTCCTCCTACACGTAAATCTATGTTTCATAATTATTTGATGCATATGTAAAGTTTACACAGCAATGTTGTTTTCAAACTATGGAACCTCTCCAATTGATGTTACGCTGTGAAGGGACATTAAAACATCACTATGATCTTAATACACGCTTCTGTAAATGTGAGATACTTATTCCAGCACCCTGCCAGTTTAGCTACCAGACTCAACTGCTGACCAGGTGGTCATTTCAGTGTAATCACGAGGGGGCAACATGTGACCTTCATGTCAGTCAATGACACTTTACCGTGCGTGCCTTGACACACTTGCTTCCCAACTGAGTAGTTTGATGACAGTTGTAATCATTCTGAATCAGAAGGAGAGATAGATGGACTTGGGTTCACAGACTGCAAATGCAATCCTGGGTTGAGGCAGTGAGGTAATGGCCTCGTTAACAGCTGACTGTCCTCGTTCATCAAAGGCCTCTGACCCCAGTCCTACTGTAACAGCAGAAGGCAAGACACGGAAGCCAAGGTATATTTTTCATTAATCAAGTCGCTGTATGTATACAGTTTTAAATTCTCTAACCAGTCATTGAGCGTATGAATTTAGCTTACATTAAATGACATGAAATAGAATGTTCAAATACACAGTATTCCGTTGCTAATGCTGCATTGAACTGTGGGAATATGTCAGAATAATATTCCGCTGGAACACATTATCTGTATCACACAGCCGCAATACTGCTACGAGAAATATTATTTCACTTTCAGTCACTGTTCATTACATTAACAGTACTGTAAACTTCCTTCTTGTTGGCTTATGAACATACATCAGTTAACGTTTGCAAAGAGACTCAACAGTTGACAAATATTGTCACGTCTACACTACATTAATCTGGGACATGCACATTTTAATTTTTTCATTTAGAAGGTAGGAATCACTTAGTAAGGACTAAATCTCCCTCTCTCTCTTCTTTGATCAGCAGCACAGAACGAGATTTGTTGTGGAGAAATTATCTGAAATTTCTGCATTGTTTGACAACGGGATCAACCAAACGTTTGCACTTGTAACAGTTCTTGCCACTTGCATTTTATGCTACGTAAAGTATCCCATTCTACACAGGAACGTTTCCAAGTTTTTCTTCAATATATTCACGTTTACTGCAACTAATCTGTGTCATGGGTGAGCACCGTTGAAGAGTCCCTAAATGGGACGAAACTGGATATTGACTTTCTAAATGGTTTTGTGTAAGTCATAGTAAATGAACTTTTATGTCCATTTACAAATGTAGATCTTGCAGCGATATGAAAAGTCTCGAAAACTGACCTTATCTATTCAGTAGTAAAGCTTCATTATAAATGAGTGTTGTGTTGAATATCATATCTGTAATCGAAAATAAAAGGGATAAAGATGCTGTATACAAAATAATTATTAAGTTTGATTTATGTCGATAAAGAAAATTATCTTCGCTGAATTGTCTTTTCACAATTTAATAGAAAATTCAAAATATTTTTTTGAGTGACTTATCCACCTTATAAGGAAAGGTTATCTTCTGTTTGAACTAAGTAGCTACCATACTTTTCATCATGTCCATGAGAGAATTAAGAAAGAGAGGAACACAGAATAATTTTTCACATTCGACAAGAATGGAATCTTTCAACTGTTTAACGATTTTTAGTTCTTCAGAAGTCTAACTCTGTCTTGAATCGACCAATACTTCACATATTATTATTCACCAATAAATTTTCATCAAAGGTCAACTGTGAGCGAACTAGAGTTCATTTATGGTGTATTTTGAAGCCAGTGATTTATTGTTACATAGGGATGAAGACAGAGAGACTGTGTATTACTATATGTATGTGCATATGTATGTGAGAAAATTCCTTGTAAGCCAAACAATCAAAGCATTAACACGAAATAAGCTCTATACAACCATAAACTGTTTATTGTGTTGGATGCATTGTTGCTGACTTATGCCTACGCGGAAGAATGTAAAGTTGTTGTACTATACTTTTATAATGAGAATGCATATTTCCCTACTGGGTTATACCTATAAGGTCAAAGTAATATTTAAAGAATGCAGTATGCATGTAACTTCTGTCATTAATTTAAATTGATACTGCAGAAATTCATAGAAACATTATTTGGAATTATTCGGAAACAATAAGAAATTGAAAAATAGGACTATTCACCAAGAAGGAAATTAATCTACATTCAGTTTTCAGAGTTTTCGAGAGAAATTGATTAATTTATTGTCAATTTCGTTGCTAAACGATACTCACTAAAGAACTACTGAAATCGAAAAGGCACAGGACAGCTACAGGGTGGATATCCTGAAGTTCTAATAGAAGGTCATGTTCGGTGGGATTCTCCATGCCAGTTGGAATTACTACATCACTGGAATGCAACCGAATGAATGGATGGTCAACGAGCCAATATCATAACCTTGAGATTTTTGATTCCATTCCAGGTAGGGTAGCTAGTGCTTGCTTCTGAAGAGTCCTCAGGTATGCAAATTAGTTGTCTACGGCTTCTTGGCTTTCTTAATTTAGTACTACCTTTTAATAATCGGAAAGCACGCCTAAGATGTCTGCAAAAAAGCATGCTCTGTCCTGTATTCATTCAAAGCGTTCATACATTCAGTAGACAGACCATACTGCTTTCCGCTTGAATATCCAGAAATATTTAGCTGTTCCTCACAGATCATGATCTTACAGGTATAACAGGAACCTCAGTTTACCAATATATGAAATTGATTTTTAGCTAAACCAATATGAGTAAATATTCTTCATCGCAGATAGGTGACCACTAGCCACTGACTAACTACGTAAATAAAAATTTAGGAAATTATAAAGCCCACCGAAATTAATAATGAACGCTGAAATCATCGTCGGTTAAATAAGCTTTGATCCCACTCAGTTAAACAGTATTAATTAGCTTCGAAATAGATATCCCTACACTGTGATGAACGATCTTATTACTCTTCGAAATACACGTGAAAAAACAATTTATGAATCCATAAAACTTTATCGTGTTTTGCGTATACTACTCAAGCACTAATTTGGGACTGCTGAATTCTTTCCCAGCTCTCAAACTTTTCAGGT